CACTAATCTTCAAAAACCTACTAATCTTCGGATTAACCTAAGTCCCTCTTAAAGATTAAGCTAGCTGAAATGTAAAATAATCACATCTTGTGACTTGTATAAAATCCCTCAAGTATTTCCTTGTCAAATCATTTTGTTCCCGGTCATTATTAAAGGTGATAATATTAACGAGTTCAATCATGGCAGACCCGAAGTAAAATACAATTTATAAGTATTATGTAAAACCGCCAATTATGAAGTTGAAATTAGAAGGTAGATAACAAAATCCTTAGGTCAGTCAATAAGAGATCTTGTACAAACCTATGATGCTAATAGAGCTTGAACGCGTTTATTACAAGTGTCACTCGATTATGGTTTTTCTTAGATTTTTTTAGTATTCTGATGAATTTCTGAAGAATTCACCACTCCAAGAAAACAAAGATCCTAAAAATCTTGGAAAAAAATGGTATGTTCGAGTTGCTGTCCTAAATCTTTTATAAACACAGTGTGCAGGTTCTTCTGTTCTGTTTGTGTCTTCATCGTAATAACAGATATTGCTTTCTTTAATTATGCCTTGAGCACCGTATATTTTTATTATTTGTTTTTCAATAGATTCTATAGACATTAACTAAATTCCAAATAATACTAATTTAGTGGTCTTTTTAGAGTATCCAGACTAAATAATTTAAACTAATCAGCAAAAGTTGAAAAAGAAATATATACACGCAAACAATTATGTATGGGGGATTGGATTATGGGAGGTGGGAGACCAAATCCCTCGTTCACGGGTGGACATTAATGGATGCGGATGGGAATACCTGTGCAATGACCATCACAAGGAAGTAATGAATCATACCAGAGACAATAACGAGCAAGGATGGCAAATGATCTAGTTTTCGAGGACATAAAATTATACAAACGATCACGAGGGTTGGTAGTATTCGGAGGAATTTCCCGGTTATCCGATAAGACAATAAGACATTAAGACGCATGTGAACAGAGTTGGGTCGATTAGGGTGGGTGGTCGGAAGAAATGAATGTAGTAGTAAGTTTGGCATTCAAAATGATCACAATAATGTGGTCTCGAATGAATAAATATAAATGGTACGTGAATATGATTTTAGTGTTTTCTCGACAAGATATGTTTCCACTCACCATCGATTTACCATCCCTCTAAATACTTTGCAACATGTTAGTTACCGTAAAAAATAATCAAACCGAACATTTACTGTAAATCCTTCCTGCAAACCATTGTGAACCGTCAAAGAACTTAGTCGAAAGTTGGTTGGTAAACGGTTTTCACCCAACCGACCTAGTTTTTTCATCGAGATGTCGGTTTTTTTTTGTTTTGTTCAACGAGATGTCGAATTTATAACAATTAGATTTTAAGCTAAAAACTTTTGAATTTTTAGTTTATGAAATACCATTTAAAACATTTATAGTGGCTAAGCAACTCTAATTGGTATGGCATATACTAAAGTCTTGTCTCCTAATCCCACGGTAAACTTTTTGGCTTTCTGTCATATGGATAATCTTTAGTTATTGCCCTTGAAATAGACTCCTAATTGAAATGTAGCAAATATCAGTGATAGAATTAAATTTTTGTTTGTTGTAATTGAAAAATATAGTAAATACTTGTATCAAATTTTTGTTTTGTCACTAAATAGTAGTATCAAACTATCAATAATGGAAACAGAATTTGAAATATAGTACTATAGTATCAATGATAGAAACAGAATTTGAAATATATATATATAAAAAAACTAATAAAGAGAGAACATGCATGCCCTTAGTCAGAATGGGCAATAGTACTTGACCAAGATCAAGTGGAAAAGATAGCCTGCAAACCAACCTACCATAACTGGAAACACCAAACCTTAACCCCCCAAGAGATCCAACGGTTCAGATTAACTACATCAAGATTGGACGATCAGCTTTAAACCATCTCTGCTTTCTCCGAAACGAGGACACAACACAACACACTTGGTTTTGATTTTCCTTTTGTCTGAATGGACAAAGCACGCGACATCTCTGTGTCTTTTATCTTCTCTCTCCTCCCTTGAAAACTGAGTTTTTTTTTTTTAGCCAGCGAT